TGATATGATATGATATGATATGATATGATATGATATGATATGATATAATATAATATAATATTAATGAAAGCCCGAGTAGAGTTCGAAATGATCTAAGAATGAAATCTAAGATTTAGAAAATTATTACCAAGCAAAACCCTTTTATGATTGATCACACACGACAATGCGCACAAAACTGTTTTAAAATCTATTTGTTTGCCGCAGCCAAATGGTAACATGATCTTAGTTTTGCAAGATTGTAGTGCATTTACTCAGAGGACTAAAAATACATTTACATTTTCTTGTGCGCACGATGATTGATGCTTCTCAGACCAAAGCAGTACCTTATAAGCTTGGGCTATAAAAGAATGTTTCAACTTATATACTCATGCTTATACTTCTATGTTTCCATAAAACCATTCATATTCAAGATCCAGATTTAGGAAAATAAAACCATACCGTTGGTTGCAAGTCGTCAGTTTTCTCTACTGGATACACCTGACTTTCAGGTTTAGTTTTGTCTAGCTGCTCTTGTGGTTTGTCTAGAGCAGGCAAGAGTTCTTCACTCTCTTCCATTCCTTTGTCATCCAAAGAGACCGTGATATCACTGTGGTTGACGAGAACTTCATCTTCAATACTGTCTTCTTCCACCAAAACTTCTGGTGGCTGCAACAAATTAACAGATAGTCACAAGGTATATATAACGTGACTTCAATATCAAAAATTGGATCATGGAACCATAGAAACAAACATCGTAAACTGAAAGAATGAACGAATGAGCCAATGAATGAAAGAATGGGTGTAGCGGAAGCACGAGATTTTAAACTCTAGTGTATCAGACACTAGGCTAGGGGGTATACTTCCATATGACGAAGGGCGGGGATGATCGTAGTATCTTTTAGGGGTTGAAATCGTAATTCACTCCTTCTTTTAGGACTGAAAAATACGTTGGTTTTTAGCACATTTCAAAGACAATTTCCTACATGATTAATCTTTTGTTTCAAAGTGGTATATTTTGGGGCTAAAATTAAGCCAAGGAACATCCAAAACTTTCTTGTAGGAGTTAAACTTAACACAAGCAATGGGCATACCTTTGAATCCATGGTTGGTACTACCGTCATTTGTCCTTTCTGTCTATCAGCCAGGTGCACTGAGAAGATCGAAACCGATGCTTTAGGAGATGAAGAGAATCGATCTGGACGGATCCAAGAGAACCTTTCTAATACCTCTCTGAGCTTATCAACATCACCTGAAACTAGCTAAGGAAGGTTCTACTTAATTATTAGACTAGATTTTATAAATATCAGTATTGAAGTGGTTATTTGGTCAATCTTGCCGCGTTTGGCCAACGCCTCAACTTGTGCCGATGGCGCCGTTGCTTGGATCGCTCCTAAACTCGTCAGACCTACCGTTATTTGTACTTTTTAAGCACGGCGCTTTGCGCATATAAAAGATAAAGAATTCTTACACTTGACAAAGGATACAATCAGACCCAAATTTAATTTGGATAACACGAACATCAGTAGGTGACCAAGAGGGGACCAGGCTTGTGACGTTGTCCTTTAACGTTATCTTTAAAATAATAGCATCTTCTTGCTCTGCAAATAAAATATACAAGCGGCTTGAACTATATGAACTGTATGTACCATGTATGTCAAGTCTAATTTACAAAGAAGAACCGGGAATTCTTTTAGGATTATATTGCGCCTTTCGTATTTACCTTTTGAATGTTTTAATTTATGAAACTGTTGTATAATATGGTAGTATATGGGAGCAGATTCTCATAGTTCGTATGAAAGAGACTCAACTCAAATTTATTTCGCATGTATTGGTTTGGCAATTAATAATTTGGCAAGGTACGTCTATATCTTATCGTGAGGCTTTTCACAGTCAAGAGAAAACTTGATTGAAAACTTAATGCAGGGCTTATGGTATCGTGTGCTTCATGGACTTACCAAGCAGTTTGCAGTCAACCACATTATCAAGCTCAATAGTGACTGTACGCCACCAAATATCATCATCCTATAAACAGAAAAATGACATGCTTCAAAATATAAAGTTATTACAATGCAGTTGGTGGACAATGCAAGCTTTTTGTTTGCGCAGCCTGTAGTCAAAACAAAAACGTAAAGATCACAAAGATTACAAAGTATTCAAACCTCGTCTTCGGAAGGAATGTCTTCTTTCTCTTCAAAAAAGAACTTAAGCGTCTTGCTACCAAGATTGAAATCAAGCCAATGGTTACCAGATCCAACATCCTTGGCAAGAGGAATCTAGGGAAAGGAAAAGTGAGAACAAATGCTAACAAAGGCCTAATAAATCGTTTACAAGAATCCTGTTAATCATCCTACCCCACCCCTTTTTACCTCAAGACAGACAGCAAACAAATTCTAAATAAAACCATACGAATGAGCCATTGTATGAAAAATCAACAGAGCGACTTACTTGTTGAGATCCAAAGAGTACCATCTGACAGGGTATCGAAAACACACTACAAATGAGAAATTATTTCATAGGTTGCTATTATTAACGTATAACGAATAGATTAAGGAAGGGCATAAGAAATAAGAAAATAAAATAAAAAGGAAGGAAGAAAGGAAGGAAGGAAGAGGAGAGGGAAATAAGAAGCGCATACCCTTTTTTATTCTCATTTGTCTTGTTTAAAAATTTTCTGCATCCCTAGGTAAAGAAGATACTTGAGTGTTAGCAATAGCAAACTAGGCAGTTTGTATGTGTAGAACTTTGAAAATACTGCGGTCTTAGCCCCACTTCTGATTTCGGTAAACACGAACTAGCAGAAATTAGAATAATAAAAAAAGCAATTCCTGGATTCGAGGCTAAGCCAGCATAAACAGGAGTTTTCAAAGTCGTCAATATAGCCACTTACAGCTTCAAACGCTTTGTCCTCGATATTCAGGAAAAGATTCTGAAGATCTTCATTTTCGAACCAAGAAGAAACGCATTCGATCCTTTCTGATGCAGGAACAAGTCTAAACACCATTTCGAGAACTTGAGCTTGAAGCTCAAAATCTGTACAACAACAAAATAAACTCGTTGATAGCGGAAAATAGGGTACGCTCCTTTACCTTGCCCTTCTAAATAACTTCTTGTTTCCGTGAATTTTTTTTTCAAGTGGCGTCAAGGAATACTCCTATTTCAAGTTCTCGTTAGTTTGCCGGCAGTCTTAGCCTCGATTGTGTACAAATGTGTTCTTTGAAATGCACGTACTACGGAACGATACGAGTTGATTAAAATGCCACGGATTTTGGTTGAATAGCTGAATATTATAACGCACAACCAAGACTAAGGCTGAGCAAAGAGAACTCGAAACTGGAGTATTAAATGAGTCCTTCTGCTCTTGTCAAGTTAAAGAAAGAGTGAGTCATTCAGTCTGGTTACGCATTCAATGAAATACAAATCTTACCGGCAGCATTAGTGATGAGAGTACCAACATCTTCACGACTGATAAGATAAATGAAATAGTATGTTATTTAGTAGGTGATTAGTGCACGCCCTACTTACAGTAGGTCCACCTTACTTACATAGTTCTTTGGTTTTTTAGTTTCTCAATTTGTTCACGCAGCTCAATTGGATTCTGCTCCAACAGATGATTGATCAGTTTGGTTCCCTGAATTGAATTAATAATTTGAGAAATAAACGAAAAATTAAAAATTTCAACTAAAATATACTATACGATAGAGGAAGCAGTCGGGCGGGAAAAAACTACATGACCAGACTACGCCCTTGATTTTTATTTAGTTTTTGCGTCATCCGATATGTTTACGTTAATGATCTATCATAATCTTTTTATTTGTTATAGCAGGCTGATTATTTTAGGTAGCATTCGCTGATGTGGGCCTGCTTTCACTCACATTCACTACCACTACGTTTACTATTTTATGCACAAGACGCTCGACTCACACGTTGATTTTCACGGAGGGAGGAAAAACCGGAGAACCCGGGGAAAAGCCATCGTGGTAAGGGAGAGAATAACAAATCAAACAAACTCAGTTCGCACGTGGCGTCTGCAGGGCGCCAGCGATCCGACCCGTTGGAGGTAAAAGACGACGCATTAGCAGCGCACACCCCCAATCCAACCCATATTGCGTTGTATACATTTGTTAGCTCAGTATTAGACATCGCTGAAAAGTAAGGATCTATATTGTAAGTCTATACCTCAATCCTCAGGCGATGTTCGTTCTTCTCATTACTAATCACATCCCTTAGCAAGTATGGCAAGAAGACGCAGACTTGTTCCTTGGCTAGATTGAAAGAAAAAAGTCATCAACTGAGACACGGCAGGATACCTAAGACTTGATTAACGTTAATTCCGCCTCAGCCCCACCCAAAGGGGCCTTGTCACACATAAAGTTTAACACAACATTAGGGGCCGTTCATTTTTTAGGGACATGGGAAAGAGAGGGGGGCAAGTAAATTGTTAGTCAAAATAATGTAAGACCCCTTCCCAACCTAATTTATTTTACGTTCCCCTTATTAAAACATTATAAATTTTCATAATTTTTTTATTTAGCTTATTATTTTTTGGTGTGCCTCCCCCTCCCAAATGCCATATTTTTTATGTAGCTCCCCCTAAATCCCACTAGCCTCCTCCTCCCAATGCCTATTTAAAAAGTTCCCTTATACTTGATACTCACCAGCACTTATTGAATTATCAGTAATGTTCTGTTAGATGAAAAAAGTTACAAGTTTTAAACATGCGGCAATAAATAAATGATCATTTATGTTCAAATCAATAAAATTATCAAAATTATATAAATATTTCCCCTCACAATTTTTTATCTAATTAACGATTTGGATGACAGCAGTCTTATTTTGTTCCAACAGTGACTTTTGCATAACTAGTGCTTGAAAACAGCTGTATTTGTTCTAAAAAAGTTGGCACAGAGAGCAGTGGCAGATCTAGGGGGTTTTGTAGGGCAGACACACCCTCTTTAATTTGAGATCTAGGGTGTTTAGGGAGAGAGAGATGTAGTTAAGAGACATTAGATTTATACTTACACAGAGGGTTTGTAATAGAGCCACCAAAGCATTTGTTATTGTTGGACTTACTGGTTGACTGATCAAATTAACAAATGCATCCCACAGGTATGAAAGGAAAAAGATCATACAAAAGGCATCAAAAATACATTCAATCATTAAAATGCATTGATGTGTTATGTTGGGGAAATTTACATTTACAGTATCAGACTTTCATTGAAGCAATTTAAAAATACCATTTTATGAAAGCTCACTTCACATATGGAAAAAAATGGGAAAATTATCAGCAGTCTCTAGAGTGAATAAATAAATGAATGAACATCTTGATGGAAAGGAATTTATTTTCATAAGGAATTTTGAATATTTGGAGAATATTTGGAGAAAAATTATGAGTAAATACTTATCATTATTTCCACCATTCCTTGATTGACAAACTCTTCGATTTTCATGGTCGCAGTCTCCTTTGATATGTCATCACTACACAGCATGTCAATGAAGCAATTAAGCCGAGATGTAAAAGTCTTGAAGCTTTTGGTCTCTATATCCTGTAATTAATGCAATATGAATGCATCTATAAATTGAGCTGCAGGTCAATATTTTATAAGGAACAGCAAAATAACAACAGCCCATAGCTGAATATGAATATATTTTTAGAAATGTTGCTAAGATTAAACAAATGACAAGCAAAGGCCATCATTTTGGCTTTTTTTAGTAGGTAGTATGCCATCACCATTATACCCACAGCAGCGTAACCAATCAGAGTGCAGGACATGCATGCAATAGCTCAATAGTTTACTCACAATGAATATATTTTTATATTTTCATGTAACAATGTAACACCTAATAAGGCTAACAGATATTTGCCAATTCTGGACTGCATCTATATATGAAGATTTTAGTTGTCTCTATAATCAGACCTAGAATAAGAGGTCCTTGTAGCAGCAGCAACAACAACAGCAACAACAACAGCATTAGCAACAACAGCAGCAGCAGCAACAACAACAGCAGCAACAACAACAGCAACAATAACAGCAGCAGCAACAACAACAGAAAGAATTGATATTAGAGAAACAGGTATATTCAAGTGTGAACATCTTTACCTATCATACAAATATTGATGGTAGAGAGTACTTGAAAAAGCCTTACCTGCCGGATGTCCTTGCAAAATTTGATATACTGTTTCTTAGGATTCTCAAACATTTTGACCATATCCATCATTATGATTTCCTGTAAGTGGAAATTCCAAAGGTCAAGGAAATCAATTTTTGAAGCATTTTACTGACAAGTTTATATTTCAAGTCGTGTTTTCTCGTGATACCCAAATTTCAAGCTTACTCGGTGTAAAATTACTCATAAGTATCACTTTCTTGATAAATTCATCACGCAAAATAAATTTAAATGAACTCACTGCATAATCCATTTAGTCAATAAATTTTAAGTCAAAATGGATACCAAAAACATTTCACAAACACATGAAAGCAAATAAATTTGCTGTCAAGTTCACTTTAATACAAACACGTTACTATAACATATAAGCTTATGTGCAGTAAAATTTCCTGACAATTTCACGTCTTTCCCAGCATTATAAAACATCAATAAAAACCTTACCGGTATCTTCGGAGGCATTATGAAATATCTGTTACACAATTGGACTTTTTCACGGCTTCATGAATATATTTTTGTGTGATTTTTGAATGATATTTTTTTTTGTTTTCTCTTGTGAACGAGTTTGCACCTTGTACGTACCTCGCCTCGCGCACTTTTTTGTTTTTCCCGCCTCCAGATGACATGACCAAATATGGATGACGAAAATTATTCGGTTTTCCGATGCTTCAATTTTCACTAAATAAGGATCGGAGCTCATTCGATGTTGTTTTCGGAAACTTGTTGCAGCAAGTCGCTAATGACTCGGCTGCTGCACTAGACTGCTTGCATCAACTTGGAATCGTATCTTTTCTTAAATATAAAAAGAAATATAATAAATGTAGGATAGTAAAAGAGAGACGACAATATATTCTTCATTTAAGACTTGTTTGTTGCGATGTACGTGAATTTTGTTTTCCACAGGGAGCCCAAACGTTGCGCATAAGAATAGAACCGTCTTTAGCCAATGCTATTAGCATGCAATACAAGATGTACTAATGAATTTCCCAATCTCTTTAGTGAATTTCAAAGTAAACAGATAGGAAATCTTAAATTCAAGGAAAAAACTTGACTTAAATCACACTTCCGGATGAATTGAATAACTTTACTTAGGACTTGAAATCTTTCTGATTATTATTCAACCAAAAATCATGAAAACCTAAGACGTCAAAACATCCCTTTGTGACATCAACTTGTTTTCCTTACTCGCGAATCGAAAGAAAAAGCTTTCAAAATATTGCAAATATCGAAGCAGTGATCCTGAAATGAGTTTCCGTTACAAACTGTGAGACGTCCCGGAAGTATAAGAGTCGCAAAGGAGTGTGGGATCTATATATGGGCGTGGAAAATGGGCGCCTTGTCTGACTCGAAACTCTGATTGTGCTGAAGAAAGGTAAGAAAACCTACTATCAACAGTGACTGTACCTCCGAGATTTCCACATATCTAGTTTGCTGTGCCTTGATCTCAAACTGAAGCATACTAGGTGTCTTCTGGAGGAGTTTATACGGTGAATTGAGGCAATCTAAAAGTGCAGGCGCTCACAACTTTACTCGTACATCCCTCTTTCCGGTACAGTCGGTGAGTAGATTATAGATCGTAAGTGTGTGTTTGTGGTCGAGATCTCGTCTTAAACTCACTCCTGTGAACAGTTTTGAGTACTCTATCCTCAAAACCGTCCCTGAGTAAGAGAATTTAACTTATTGTAAGGACTTACAACAGAGCAGACAAGACAAATCTTAGGCAAACTTCGTCAAGATAGCTATAGATTGAAGTGGAATGTGCCTCTACTTGTATTGGCAATCGGTGTTTCTTCTTTGGTAGGGTTTCATAATTTGAAATATTAAATTCAATAACCTTTTTAAAATGCTACCCAACCCAAACAACTTAAATCTAGGGCTTCTCATTTATAACTGCTTCAAAAATAACCGCGAGAAACCATCAAAATGCACTTGGTACTGAGATATAAAAGTCTTGAACTCCAATTTAATATTAGCATCGTGTTGCTATCACATTCACTTTTGAAAACCATGACTCTCCTTCTGAAACTTCCTTATAAAACTTGGATAGAATCATTCTCTTTTTGCTTTCATTTTCGCATCGTTTTGATCACGCTTTTAACATGTGTAATCGAAGAGTTTTCGGGATTTTTTACTGCTGGTCCCAAGTTTGTTTTGAATATATACACAAGCTTAGAGATTGCTTAATTTTCAAACGTACATTCCATGACAAACAAGGCTAAGTTCGATTCAAAATTTCCAAAACGAAAGTCTTCATAGACATTTTTACTTCCAGTTTAACTGTATATAAGTCGAAATAAATCAGATTTGTGTACTTTTGTTTAGACATATCGATTTATCTGTGATATTTATTCTACTGTATGTGTAAGAATAAAATTTAAAATCTTTAGATGATTCAAGATCGTGAAAATTTACTTATTAAATTCAGTTATGCTTGGTTGATTATTTTTAGAAGATATAACTAGCTAAAAACTAGTGTGAGCTGCGTCGGTGTTTCTAATGAAACAGTAATGATRAAAAGGTAAATTATACACCGTGAAAAGATGAAAMAACTTACTGACGTTTCGGACGCTAGTCCTTCGTCGGAGTAAAAGAGGGCTCTTTTACTCCGACGAAGGACTAGCGTCCGAAACGTCAGTAAGTTKTTTCATCTTTTCACGGTGTATAATTTACCTTTTCATCATTACTATTTTTAGAAGAGTTGAATATTTTGTGAAATATGACGAATAGAAATTATTGAACTAGAAAATTATTGACCTGGAAATCTGACATTTATATTACGAAATCTAGATTTCCTTTTTGGGCTATAGTTTTCCTGTTTACAAAGGGGTTTTAATGTTATGAAAAAAACTTCTTGTAAAATGCTCATATTTTTAATAGAGTTAAATTTCTTGTGTGTTTTGGTGGGAACGTTTGGGTTATGCATAATTTTAAGCTTTTTTCTTTTTCTCACCCAGCTTAACATGTGTCTACAGTGTTTAATTAAAGGATATGAATGATTGCAAAAAAGATTAAGAAACAAGTGGGATTAATATAATACAAATTTAAATGTCAACTTTGTAATACTCCAAATCGCCATAGAGTATTGACTACTTGATACCAGAAGTTTTTCCAATGCTCTTAGGAAAATCATTTTAAGAACTTAATTTCAAAGGCAGTAATCCAGGCCAGATTCTTATTAACGCTTATTGACTGCTGGGGATTTTTTTATTTTCCAGCTCATAGTCAGGGGATAAGTTTAATTAAGTTTAGCATCAAAAAAGAAATATTTCCAGGAGTGGGAACCATATAATATGCTACATATGCTGACTTGAAACAGGAAATTAGCATTTTGTGACATTGAAATGGTTTCCTATTATATGTTGTACTTTTCTTCAGGTTTATTAACACTGAAATGGTTTCCTATCATTGTTGTGCATTTTCTCCAGTATTTTGACACTGAAATGGTTTTCTGCCATTTTTGTACTTTCTTTAGCATTTTGTAACTGAAATGGTTTCCTACAATTTTCACCTTGTTCTTATTTTTATTTATTTATTTTGCACCTTGTTCTTTTCTTCAGCATTTTAGTAACACTGAAAGGGTTTCCTATAATTTGTTACATTCTCTCAAGCACATTTTGTAACACTGAAATGGTTTCCTTCATTTTTATGAATTTTCCAAAATTGCAATAATGTCCACTGTCAGTATCCAGTGTAGCATGTATTTGTTTGTTTTCAAGTCTCTTTATTTCCTCTGTCTTTTTGTTTTTCGAGTGCTGAATTGCTTCTTGTATAGCAATTCTGAATATCTTTTGAAAACAAAATGGAACTAAAAGACATACATGCTTAATGCATTGGACATGTCTCAAAGCTGATCTCAGTTCATGTTCTTTATATAAAGTTGTGATAGCTAAGCTGGGAGGAATAGGCTGCTATCAAGGGCGGATCCAGCCAAAATTTTAGGGGGGGGGGGCTAATTGAGTTTCTTCCGTCAACACAACAGAAAACAATAAAAAAAAGCATCAAACTCTTCAGTTTTGTTTTGTTTTTTTTCTGCTGAAGGGGGGCTTCAGCCCCTCTTTGCCCCCCCTGGATCCGCCCTTGGCTATAGCATTCTCTACCCCACTTCTTGCTAATGTCAATAAAAGTTTTAAGGTCTCTACTCCCCCCAACCTATGGTTATACTAGTATGCTATATATTCTGATCCAAGCCCCCTTCTATCACAAGTATGTTTTGATTAATGTAATATTATTATTGTTATTTAACTGTCAGATAGTGTTGATCAAAGTCAAGCAGTCGGTGCTGCAATGGGAAATCTCCTTCGACTCTTAAACAGGGAAGAATCAGAAGCCGGAAAAGTTGACATCTTTCTTGATTTTGAAAGTAAGCTTTCTGCAATACTGCTAATACTCCTAATTACTGCTATTTCCATAAACATGCAAACTCACTAGCTGAGAGCTGTATGCTGAAATGTGTTTTTTTCCTGCCGTCAATCAAATCTAAGCGGTCAGTCATTTCATATTTTTGACAGGCAGAAGCAAAAAACTGAATTTCAGGGTGCAGCTCGCAACTACAGAGCTCACATGTGTATGAAGATAGTAGTTATTCTGAAAAAAAAAATGTACTAATATAGGAAATACCAATGAGACTCTCCCTCTTGCTCTCTGTTGTCTCACTCTCTCTAACCCTTCAAAAATTTAATTTTATTAACTAATGTTCATATGCTAGATAGATTTTATTATTGTGACAATTCTTAATTTATGATATTATTTTTGAAACAGATGCCGAGCCAACGGAACCTGAAAAGTTGGTGTATGACATTGTACGAGGAGTCCTTGACGATGCTCCAAGAATTCTAGAGTTACTAGAAAATTACACGGGAGCAAGTGCAGAAATTCGACAGGTTAGTCTCTTGTGTAAGAAGATATTGCAGATCTTCTTAGCTTAGGCTAACATTTTCCCATTTTGACCAGACAATTCCCTAGAGTATTATTTCTTTGTTTAATGGTTATGCATGAGAAGGCACACAAATCATATGGAGTACAACTCATACAAAGAATCTTATTCTCAAGGGAATGAAACAATATGGTCTTAAATGGAAAAACATTACACCTAGACTAAGGAGATCTATTCATTGAATGTTATGAAGATTTGCCATATGATGGAATTCCATAACATCCACAGTAATTGGATTTTTTAAGACCATTTCAGGCTATTTTCTGGTACGTACTTTCTCTATACAAAATCCTCTATGTAGGGGGCCTAAGAGAAATGATCCTCACTAAGGAGGAAGTGACTGTGGTTATGTATTGTAAATATACACTACATTGTAAAAACATTAGAATAGCTTTTTATATCTCTTTTTTATTGTGTAGGCAATATCCAACCCATCAGATGAAGCGCTACAAGAGGTAGCATGGAAGGCTGTTGTTCCTCTTGTAGACCAGCTCAAGCAGTTTTATGAATATGCTTGTGAGTTGGGTGAGTTGAAACTGAGCAACAATACAAACCACTAATTGTAATATTATTCATACATGTAAATTGGGTCCACATTTTCCTGTTTTGAGCAAGTTTGGCATCCTTAGGGAAGATTTCTTACGATTGTTTTATTCTTAAACTGTGCTATATTCTTTGCTACCCTGTACTTTACAGGGCTGCTGTGCGGTACTATCTTGTGTTTTCCTATACTTCACCATAATTGCTGTAATATGTTTTATGCTGTACTGTACTCTGCTGTGTTTTGTGACAGCTAGTGTACTGTGCTGTACTGCCCTATACTGTGCTGTGCTATACTGTGTTGTACTGTTCCATGTAGTGCTATAATAGTGGTCACACTACGTCTGACCATTTACATTGTGGTCAAAAAATCTTCCTTACAATCATTGGTTCGACATCTTCATATTGACCTTTTAAAAAATTAAGATTTTTTTCTCAACAAGAAGGAAGTCATTTTTAATATTTCCTTCCTGTGAAATGCCTCCCAGTAAGATCATTAATGTTGCTTATTCCATTGATCTAGAGACAAGGATCAGAGTTTTAGAAACCTAAAAATTGATGTTGATATGTTTAGAATCATATGTATTAAATTATTAATGGTTTTTTTTTTTTTTACAGAGGCAGTTCTGCCACAACTCCTTCATGCATTATGTGCAGGAAACATGACACCAATAGAACACTTGGAAAGGCAGCAGGTATTAAAAAAAAAAATTTTTTTAATGTCTTATAATTTAAGCTGGAACACATAAGATATTTGTTGTGAAGTGTGATCGTCCAGGTGAGTGTATGTAGTCAAGATCAGATTTTCACAACAAATTTCAACAACTGGGTTCAAACCATTTACTCTTAACATATGATATATGAGTACCTTTTAAATAACTAACAGGATGTAGACTAATCAGAAGACTAATCAAGAGAAGTGAACTTCTGGGTGCAAAAGAATTCGTATCCAACTTATTTAACATTTAACGATAATTATTGCCTCATGTTTTATATTTCCAGGCACTTGCTAAACAGTTTGCAGAAATTCTTCATTTTACTCTCAAGTTTGATGATTTAAAGGTATGCATTTTGCTATGACATCATTGATATGAATGAATGGTAGACATTATCACTTGCTCTTGATACATGTCAAATAACTGTTGTTCATGACAATAAGAGGGAAATATCGTTTTTTCTTCAAATTCAAGTTCATTATTCCATCCCTTTTCTTTTTCTCTTATTTCTTCCTATTCTTTTTTCTTCTCCCCTTCCCTTTCTTCGTGCAAAGCATCCACTGATAATGACATCTCTTCTTTTACAGATGACCAACCCTAACATCCAAAACGACTTCAGTTATTTCAGAAGAACTTTGAGTAGACGCAAAATGGCAAATACAGATGACACGGAGGTTGTCGTGTCAAATGAAATGGCCAACAGAATGTCGCTGTTCTATGCATATCCAACTCCCCTTCTTAAAACTCTTAGTGATGCAACAACAAAGTTTGTAACAGAGGTATATCAAAGTGTAGACCATGTTCTTTAATAACTTTATGAAATATTTAAGATATACTGTACCATGTGCTGACTTCTAATGCAATTCTAAATTGTATTGAGAGCTAAAACATAAGCCTCTGACTCAGGAGACTAATCAATAATTCCCTAAAATGTATATTGATAACCGCTAATGTTATATCTTTTGCCTTTGCAGAACAAAAATCTACCTATAGAAAATACGACAGACTGTCTTAGTACTTTAGCAAATCTTTGTAGAACAATGACAGAGAACCCGTAAGTTTAATATTTCACACTAGAGTATCACATCTTTGCTTAATGGTTGTGCATGAGAAGACACATGAATATGGATAGAACTCAAACAAAGAATCATATTCTCAAGAGGATTAGTGGTCTGAAATGGGAAAACACTATGCCCGACTAGGATTTTGAAATCACTTTATTGTTTAATAATGTGATAACATCAGTGATATGGACCCTTGCATGTGATGTCAAAGCAGCTTAGTCTGGGGAACAAAACAAAAGAATCCCAATCTCCTGAGAATTGGGACATATTGTTTTGTCCCCCAGATTGCTGCATTCCAAAGTTCTGCAAGGGGTCTTATACTGTATTATCTTGTTCTTAGGGATATATCGTCAAGATTTGAGAGTGAGGAAACCCTCTTATTCTGTCTTCGTGTTATGGTATGTACTCCACATCATTATTTGTAATATTAATTATAAATTTATATAAATATATTTTTTCTAATTTCTATTTCATAAAATATTTTCTTTCATCCATGTCGTCAATCAAGTGCTATATGTTTTTGATGTAAATATCCCTTAAATAACCTAAAGGATATTAAGATTGTGGTTTATATGTAGGTTGGTGTGATTATTCTATATGATCATGTTCACCCAGTTGGTGCATTCGCAAAGACTTCAAATATAGACGTAAGTACATGTAACACATACAAATATTTCCATTCAAGGTAGTTCCTGTATCATATTTTACTTAAAATACTATTATTGGACTTGTTTCTCTTCTTTGTCCTTATCATCGTCATTATCATCACCACTATCATCGTCATTGCCACCGTCATCATCACCACCACTACCATCCCCATCACCATCATCATCACCTGACTACTATCATCATCATGACCATCACTATCATCATCATCACCACCATCACCATTATCGTCACCGTCATCATCATCATCATCACCACCACTACCATCCCCATCACCACCATTATCGTCACTGTCATCAACTTCATCATCACCACTATCACCATCAATACCACCATCCATCAACACCATCATATTCACCATCATCATTACCATCACGATTATCACCAACATCATCACCACCAACATTACCACCATCTTCGTCTGGAATCTACTCCTTGCAGGCACTAATCTAATACCCAATTCACACCTAAACGCGTTTAGTTAAACTATGTTTTCATTAGGAAAAAATTGAGAAACTAGAAACCTACAATATAATGAAACTTTGTAAAATATTGTCAGAGCAAGACAAAGGATAGTTTACATGCATTATTTTACCAAATATTGCGCAGTGTTCGTAGATAGTTTTCCAAACCTGTTTAGTTAAACCACTTTAAAACATGTTTAAGCCTTGGTGTGAATGGGGTATAAGAGTGTTAACGATGGGCATTTTATAATTTTCTCTCTATTATCTGTGAACTTCATTTCACATTTTCATTTTCCAACAGATTAAAGCATCAATAAAAGTGCTGAAGGATCAACCTATTGGTTCTGTTGATGGACTATTGAATGCATTGAGGTTAGTGAAAATACCCCAAACCTCTATCGATACCCTGAAACAGCCTCTAGGCTGATCAAAGTCACAGCGCGGCTAACTCAAAGTCGAATTGGAATTAGGCATGTTAGGTTTTGCGGAGGGAGGAAAAACAGAGAACCTGGAGAAAAACTCTCGAATCAAGTGAGAGACCCAACGAACTCTACTTACACGTGATGCTGAGACTGACACATGTAATGCTGAGTCTGAAAGTCGAAAGCGAGACTCCCGAGGCGAGTGCAATAACCTGCTGCGCCCCTCTTCTTCCATCGTAATAACATATTTTTCCCCTTCTTTTCAGGTACACAACAAAACACTTAAACGATGAAACGACGCCTAAAAACATCCGCGCCCTCTTAGTGTAAAAACAAAGAAATCCTGTACAAAGATCGTTTTTCTATTTATCAATTGTAGCTTTTTCGAGATTAGACTAGTTTTTGCTATGAGATGCAAGCATCAGTTGCCCTATAGCTAGTAGAACATTTTATTAGCTATATAGTCAGCCCAAAATCTAACTTTTGATTCATGCCGATATATCGTATTCTTCAAAGTGAGATTAATCTACGATGAGGACATACCGCGAATTTGATCCTAAATATCGACGATTCTTGAAAAAGAAGTGAGTTTTTAAGAATCGCGGTAGGCTAATTTGAAATCTTTTTAATTTGATGACGTGAATTTTTAACCGTATTTTGAACAGCACGGCGGAGTGCATACCATATATCCATGAAAAACTTTAAGGAATTGCACGAATTTGCACAAATTAGTAAGTTCAGTAGACTGCAGATCTACAAAACTTTGGACAGCACAGTATCCTATACCAATGATTTGTGACAGCGAAAGTCGCTTATTCGTATGCCTTTTTAAAAGACTGGTTTACACTTGCGAAGGAATCGGAGTCTGGATTATAGGGACTTCCATGAACTTGCAAGTGAAAACCGCTAGTCATTAGCATAAGCACAAGCCAAGCGTTTTCTGATTTTTACTTCTTCATAAGCTGCTTCTGTCTTCGATTTCGGTTACGTCGCTAGTGAAACCCCACCTTTGCTGGTCATGAACTACCAGGGGGAAGTTGAGGGGAGCTTAACAAGGTGGGAAAAGGTAGAATGTAGGGAATGAAAATCGTGTAACCCCAGAATCGAGACATTCCTGACCCTAAGTCAGGGACTCTGTTCAAGTAACTTTACCAGTTGTCTATATTTTCGTATTTTACCCCAAAGATTCACGGCTGTTATGCCCTCTTTATCAATTCTTTTCCTTGGCGACTTATGACCAGTGTAGCTGTGGATTCATTTATAGTTGGCTCAAAAATTTACTAGAACTATAACAATGTAAAAACAGGGTTCGCATTAATCTTGAAATTCCAGGATTTTTTCCTATTGATCTTGGAATTCCAGGACATCTGAAAATATTTTCACTGAGAATCTTCGAAAACTTTTGGAATTTTGTTTGGTACGAATCCTGAATTAACTCCGTAGGTGAAAATATGTCAAAATACTAACAATATCGAAATGTATAATTTTTAGATGGAATTGAAAGTTAAATAATTTGTAAATTGTCCGCTTTCGGTTCATCGAGATTTTAGATGTTTTTTAGTAATTTAGTTAAGCAATCTTCCCAAAATGCATGAAAAATATTATTTTTTCTTTTACAGGAATTTTCATAATTATTCGACTAAGGCAACCGGCATCGTATGACAAATTTCAGACAATAAACGATTATCAAAAATAACGCTGAAATTTTGATTAGTAGAAAGCATAGTATAATCCAGACGTCTGGAAAGGAAGGTAATATAGTTAGTTGCCATGACCAGTGGTTGATCAGTTATTAACCTATTAGCCTCGTTTTTATGACTTGAACACACTTCTTTTACAGCGGCTTTTAGTCAACACAGCCTTCCTTAGAATCTGTCACGGCTGCGTAGGAACCTAACAGCGAGCTTAACTTTAAACAGCACGTGTGACATAATGGTCGCCTAACAATGAAAATGATGTATTATGTTCAGATACTTGGAGCTTTTTTATTTCACTTAATGAAGCTAGAAAAATAAAGACGTGAGTAATGCGTAGGTAACGATGATGTACATGTTTTATAATTTACAGGGAAAAATAGGAAAACGAATGAGAAAGATAGAATCTATTACGATTTCATTAAACAACTGTTTGCAATGTAACTTTGTTGCAAAAAGTTTTTTAAGATCATTGTACTGTGGAAGTTTTTTCGCTTTGTGTGCAGAAAAACTTGTGGAAATACTATAATCTCGGAATGAAGTTTATGTATAAGAATATAAGTGTTGAAATAAAAGGTGCCCATTCGTATTTGCAGGGTGTTACGTTACTTCAGTGCGGTTGAATACGTCTACATTGAACTCTAAAGGCATGGATACAAGCTACAACTTCAACGCGCAACAAGATTTTAGAGCGATATCGGTAGTAAAAGTTTCTGACAACCAAAGTAAATTCGAGTTTGACGTACTAAGTCGGGATGAAACTAATTGTGCGCAACGCTTTAGGAGGAGGGCTTAAATCTATTTTTGTGGTGGCGACAACGGCGCAATCGTTCGTGGTTGCGGGAAATGGCTTTAGCTTGTGTCCTTACCATAATGCTCCTAATCTAATGTAACTGTAGACAGCCTATAGCTATCACGAAAAAAAAGTTAACGACTGACCTGAGCCCAACTCTACCTCGTTTCCAGTGCCTCCTCAGCGCTCAATTCTTGGATGCACTGGGAACGACAATGGTTATCGGCAAATTGAGGTACTTAGACATCCTGGAGGCTTTGCGCGCAGAATTCCAATATGGCACTTAAGTTGCCACTAACTCTTGAAGCATCACGAAGCTACTTATAAGACATCTAGGATACGGAGGCCTTGCGCGCAGCGATTTCAATGAAAATTGTGCTTCCATTCAGCTACCTGTGCGACTCATCTTTACAATTCAGTACTTGGCCACCTCTTTGTCGCCTTCATTGAAGGAGAAACAACCATTGATTGAAGTTTAGGTCTCGGTTTATTAGCTCTCATTCCCTTAACTAGCTTCCTGGGAACACCGGTCGCCTTGGAAGGAGCAATAGCCTGGGTAACTGGACGGTACCGATCATGAAGGTGATCATAGTGCATGCTCGTTTTTTCCGATGGATTTTTCGTCTGGGTTGATCTTGTCGCTGATCTTGGGTGGCTTAGGTCTAATTTCTTCGTTTCAGGGTTTTTCACATGTTTGAAGAAACTGCTTAAGCGGTTCTGAATTGCGCGCATGAAGGGAAGATGTCTCTGAAAAAAATAGAGAAGAAAAGCAGTCAGAAAAGATAAAGAAGAAGAAAATCAGAAAATATTTTCAAAAAATTCACAAACTTTACCATGGCCCTCTTTGAATCTCCCACTGCCGCAGCCCACCATTCGATGATCAAAAAGATTAATCCAATGACCACACCCGCGAGCATGAATATGAACACTCCAAGCATGTTCATCAAGCCCATCCTGTAGGCGTCTGTTTTCGATTCTGGAAAAAATATCAGCTGTATTATTTTTCAAATTTGTAAACAAGTCATGACACGAGTAGCATACAGATCAAACCCTGAAACAACCTCTGGGCTGATCTAAATCAGGGTATGGCTAACGTACAGATTGAACCCTGAAACAACCTCTGGGCTGATTTAAGTCAGGGCATGGCTAACGTACAGATTGAACCCTGAAACAACCTCTGGGCTCATCTAAATCAGGGCATGGCTAACTCACAGATCAAACCCTAAAAGAACATCTGGGCTGATCAGTGCATGGCTAACTCACAGATCAAATTGGAATTTACAGTGTTAAGAGGGAGGAAAACTAGAAAAGTGGAAGAAAAACCCTTGAATCAAGTGAGAGACCTAAAGTACACATGTGATCCTGAATACAGGAATCGAATCCGAGACCCCAACATTTATGGCGCGCGGATATCGTGACATGCCATGCGCCAAACGATTGAAGGCGCACGATTCGCAATAAGTAAGATTGCTGTTGTTCGCATTAGATAGCATACCATATATCCGTGAAAAAGTCCACTAACAAAATTGTACAAATGAGTGCAAAGTTTTGTAGCTCTACGGTCTGCTGAGGTCTACTGAACTTACCAATTTGTGTAAATTTGTGCAATTTCTTACGAACCTTTTCACGGATATATGGTATGCACTCTACCGCATCTTAATTATTAGATTTTTTTAGGAGCAACGTACCCTCATGAAGATCGGCATCATCCAGCAGAGAACAAGGGGTTTTGTCAATCATCCATTTCTTGATTATTTTTTTAATAACTCCTTTCTGTTGCAACTTTAGCAGTTCAATATTGATAAGAAGACGATACGGAGAGCCCTTAGGTAAAGCAAACCCATAACTCATTTTTCCTATGGTTCTGCAAAAGATAACGAAAAAAAATTCGAAGTTCATTTATTTTGTTTTGAAATTTTTATGGACTTTCTTAAGGCCGGTTTAGACGGTACGATTTTCGCCTAACAGCTATCGCATACAACACTCTCGCGTCTGTCATAGGCGGGCTTGATTTACACGCTACGACTCGGGGTGTAGGATGGCGCGAGCGTGTTGTTTACGATAGTTGTAGGCGAACCCGTACCGTCTAAACCGGCCATTACTCATTTTTCTAACTTCAGTATAAGCTATAAAAAGTATAGCTTTATGGAATGCAACAAACAAAGGCACTGCATGTACCATAGATATTTTCTGAGATAAGGAAAATGGTGTATTGTGGTCTAGCTTGGGTAAAATCATGTTTGTTCACCATACCTTATATGGTGTTGCTTATACCCTATCTAGACCACAATGCATCCTGTTTATTGAAATCGAAAGGTCTTTACTCCTTACTTTTCATCGAATCCTCCAATAAGCTTGATATGACCGCAGTAGTTCTTTCTTGCCTGGTACTGCAACACTGGTGCGTCATGGATGAACGCGTATTTGCCCTTCAATACTCTCTGTATACCCGATGACGTGTTAGAAACCAGGGCGCGTCGAAGCTTCATGTATTCCCACATGATGAGATATCTGATGGAGAAAAAAACAGAGAAAAAACTTAAAAACAGCTACTTACTTGGGATATCATAACCATCACCATCATCTTATCATCGTCATTAACATAACCATCATATTCATCTTCCGCATTTTTATCATCGTGCTCGTCATCATTATCATCCTCATCACCATTATCATCATCATCATCATGCATCATCATTAATTAAATTAATTGACTAAGTTTACCTCATACCCATTCTCGGGAGCCCTGGGATGATTGAGCGACAGAATGTTACCCCAGTGGGTTCACTGGGATGGGTATGAAGTAAATCAAATAACTCATACCTTGACAGACGCGAATCCTCAAAAAACCTCTGTGTTTGGCTGTTTTCAATAAGACCATAGTCAATCTCATTTTGTTCCGACAGATCATTGACATGCGCAATAGGTGTCTGCATACGATTGGTCGTCAAGTACGCCGCCAGGTTAGCCGTATAAGTTGATGTCAGGATGGTTATACAGAACCACCACACCGCAATGGCTGCTCGTCCTGATGCAGAAATGGGGTGAAGCCCGTCTGGACCCTGACCCAGATAATAGGCTGTCGATGACCAAATAGAGTTTAACAGACTAAGGTTGTATTGGGTCTCAAGGTGCGATGCTTTTACCTGGAATTAGAAAACGTAAGAAGTGTAAATGTAAACGCTAGCTTTTGTTGATTGCTCAGTCGTCCAAGCCGACACCAAAACGGTCGACATCAGATTGAATTGGAATTTAACATCAAAGAGTTTGATCTATAATGTTTTGAGCCATTACTGATTGACAGAGAAACAATACTCAAGGGAATGACACGTGGCCTGAAATGGAATCAATGGATTTGACAAATAGGTAACGAAAGAAATAATACTAAAGGAAAAGGTATTCGGTCTAGAATGGAAAACCCATTACCTCCAAAGAATGGTCTCATTTTATAGACCACTTGCATGTGACGTCAAAGCTCAATTTGGAGAACAAAACAAAAGAATTTCAATCTCCTGAGAATTGGAAACCTATTGTTATGTCCTCCAAATTGAGCTTCATTCCAACGTGCTACAAGTGGTCTATTCCACGCAGCACGAGTTTGCTACCACCCTTCCTGTGAGTGAGTACTGACCTCGTTACTGGTGGACTGTACACATCTGCCGTAAAAACCATAAGGACTCAGTAGACTAAACACAAAACTAACAACAGCCATGCCCAAGACAGCCCCAATAATCACTATCCAAAGGTGAACAGAGAACGGCTTGAGAAAACCGAAAAAGGAAGGGTCGCCTTCTTCCGTTGCCATGATAACACCAAGGCCAGTGGTCATGTATGGCTGTGTAAAGACGACCACTTTAGATCGTCGTGAGGAGATGGTGATCGGACCAATAGCGAGGTCTGCCGTCTGTATGTAAATAAATATGATAAAACACAGATAATGTATAGATCTTATTCCTCTTGCCTCAGTAGCAGCGCAAAAGAGAAGTACCATTGGGAGGGGGATAGGACGAGAGGAGAAGAGAAGAGAAGGAAAGGGAAGGGAATCTAGGTGAGACGTGCCCTTTTTACGCTGTTACGCAATCTCGTACCCAGAGCTCTTATTTCTTACTGCGCATGCTCGACGAAATCTATTTATTTCGTCGAGCATGCGCAGTAGGAAAAAAAGGGCTCTGTACGAGATTGGCCCGCGTTACACAGGTTATACTTTAACCGTCACGTGAACATGTATCTAACCTCGTTCAAAAGCTCCCCAATAGCTCCGTTCCATCGACCTGTCCGACTGTTAAAGTTCCCTACTGTACCATCAGGTGACTTATAGATGACGTAGTCGAAATGGAGGGCCTCTTTCAGCTTGTCCAGTATGTCAATAGCGGCTCCTTCGAATTCAGGGCGTCCTCTTACTCCCCCTGTCACGTTGTCAAGCTTTAACATGGTAAAAGGAGAACTCTATAACAGAAGACAGAATAGAAAACAGCTATAGTGGTTTCATTTGTATGATCACGTGCTGGCGGCCATGTTGGATGACAGACCAATAGGATCCCTTTACTTTCTTTCTAATGGAAAACTCCAACACGGCTTTTACTCTATTAATCCCCATTTAGTTATTATGTTAAACTTATGTGACTACATTAACTTGAGCCTATAAATGGTTGCAGCGGTGTATTCTTCTGGAGCATGCGTGATCTACTGACCATGGATGTCACAACTGTGAGGATCTTGTTCTTGAGAGTATTGATAGAGTCACGTGGGACATAAGAGCTATCGCTGTTCCAAATGATCGTTTTGTTTTTGAACATCTTGAGTTTTTCATTCGTATTCCATAAACCAATCTATAAGAAAGAAAAAATGAAATTTGTCAAAAAATAATATACCTCTGATAAAATGAAAACCTGGGCCCCTTTAGTGTACGAAGGGTGGATAGCGCTATCCGGCGGATAAATCTTATCCATGCAGGGGATAATGTTTTTGGATAACAACATCGACGTATCCACTGGATAAGGATTTACCATCGGATGGCGCTATTCTCTCTTCGTACAGCCGGGCCCTGAAGTTCAAGAGTGTGCTTCTGGTCCATTTGTGCACTTTCCTATACGTCACTGGTTAGCATCGTCCCATTAGACCATATCCAAAATGGAAAAGAAAGAGCTAACACTCATAGAGGCACATGCCTGACGTCATACCAAACAGTGAAGTGAGCAGCCTGGAGACGAGGCCAGTCACTGATAAGGAGAAGACAAAAGTGGCCAATAATGAAACTCAATAAATATGCAACATTCCTACAGAGTCTTTAAGGGACCGCGGAGACTTTTTTAGCCTCAAGGTAGCATAGGGACCATTCCTCGAGATAATATTTTCGAGAGAACGTAACGTGAATAAAAGAAATGGGTTACCTTGGTGATGCTGTTGTCATGGAAATTAACGACGTCATAAATGCCCGACTTTTGTGCTCCTTTATCAAAGCTAATATTCCCCATAAAGCCATACATCGTAACCTGCAAAAATAGATCACTAATATAATTTTTCCATAAAAATTAAGCTTCATCGTTACCTCTTGAGGGTCGCTTGATATTAGTTTATCGGCGACTTAGGTTTCCTTCTTTTTCTTCTTTATCCTCCCCCTCCCCGGGCCTCCCCGGGGGTTTCTGAGGAAGGTTTTTTTTAATTGGGTAAACATTACACCCAAAGAAGAGAGGACTATAGTGATACCTGTCTTAGGTACGAGCTGAGGATCGCGCCTTGGCCTCCGTCATCAACGATGTCCATTGACTTGTTACAAATCCGCCCTGATCTCTTGTCACTTGATATCTGGAACCCATCTTGCAAAGCATTTCGGACAGCTTTGGCTACGACTAGCACTGAATCGATGATACGTCCGACAGATGGCTGGGAAGAAAAGAGATTCATATGCAGAGTGTTAGGATTACTCATCACACAGTAACATCATGCCAATCACATTGATCTTTCGATCATCAATGCAACTGATCATGATTTATGATTTATAAGACACTAGGGCCGTGACTAGGGGGTGCACGTGTACCCCTCGTACGAGCTGAAGGTTCGAAAGTCTTCTTTTTCTTTTCTTTCTCTTCTTTTCTTTTTTGCTCTGCTCCTAGCTGGAAATCCTTGGAATTCTATAGCAGTTCTTAAGGTGATGGCTGTTAGGTTAGACATAGTTGCATTTCCATTTAATGTGCACCCACCCTGCAAAACCCCTGGTTACGATCCTGTCATGATTTATGATTTATATAGCACACTTTCTAAATCATGAGAGATGATTAGTATGAGGTTTGTAAGGGTCTCTTTACACCCTCAGTGGTTCTTTGACGTCCCAGCTTACGTTATTTTGACTGACCTTTGTAATTGCGATTCTTCTATTTTTATAATAGTATTCATTGATGGCTTCACCCAGAGGACCATGGCCTATTGCTTGTCTTACTCCAATCAATCCCTTTAATTCATGAGACATCTGTCCTCCAGGGAATAAATGTTCCTACGTATAAGATGAAACAGATACATTATTATTTAACACGGACGGTGGGACGAAGAAGCGAACGACGAAAGAAATTAGGATGGGTGGGTGGGTGAGATGGGATGAGATGAATGGATAAATATATGGATTGAGTTGGTAATTGGAAACACTGTGGTGGGTGGATGGATTGATGGAGACATCTCTCCTCCAGGGAATGATTGTTCCTACATATAAGATTAAACTGTTGCGAAAGAAAGGATGGGTGGGTGGGTGAGATGAGATGAGATGGGATGAAAGGATGGGTGGGTGGGGTGAATGGATAGATATATGGGTGGGGATGTGTAGACGAATGGACTAATGAGTATGTACGTGGTAGGACTGTTTGGTGGGATGGGTGGATTAGTGGATGGAAGATTGGATAAGTGAGTGGATGGATGGATGGATGGATGGATGAATGAACGGACGGACTCACGGTACGTGGTAGGACGTTTTGGAGTGTGGGTGGATTGGTGGGTAGAAGGTTGGATAAGTGGATGGATGGATGGATGGACGGACGGTCGGACGGACGGACGGACGGACGGACGGACGGACGGACGGACGGATAAATTGGTGGAGAGGTGGATGTTAAGTTTAATGAATATATATCAGCTCTATTCACTTGATTAACATGTTTCTGTATACTCTCTATTCACCTTCTCGAAGTTGTTCACGAGCCAAATCCACGCGTACTCCTTCAACATATCCTTGTTCTCTGCTTCCTGTAACACCTTTCTGATCACCGATGACCTGCACCTCACCACGATAATCCTAGCTTCAGCTTTCAGGATTGAATCAAGAACTCTTCGTATCTCGTGGTGCATTGTATTGTCATCGGGGTCAACGATGAAGAGCTCAGACTGCAATAACTTGATGCGGCGATCTTCAAGGAAGTCTCTAAACGAACCAAGTGCTTCACGACCTTTAAAACATTGTGAATAATATGATTAGAAAATAATTAACTTGTATTAAACGCCGCGCGGGCTCTGGTTGAAATACAATAATAGGGCTTATAGGTGAGAGTATCTAAGGTAATCACGTCATTTCTCTTTCGGCGCGCACCAAGAATTTGCCTTTCCATATAAAAATAAATTGGCAAATCGAGGTCCCTTTTCTATGATCTGTACCGCTTATCGAACCGAGCGCAGCTTTTAAGTTGTGACGTACTTCCGGGTTCAACTGCTCACAAAAACCGCTATCATAAAGCCGAAAACATTCTTAATGATTTCACCTTCACATGAAACAATTAGCGACCTTGAGCTGAAAAATGTAAGAAAAAAAACCTTTGTAAGATTGCTTTTGTTTTGGACCCGGAAGTCGTTTTTCCATATGAGTGACGTCATAGCTCTAAAAAAACTCAGGGTCGCACGGTTTCGATAGATGTTGTTTGTATTTGTTTGATATTACTTCAAGGGAAGACACAGTCAACCAACACAGTACAAGTGCGATATCCAAGCATACTTTATGAAATACCTTCATTATCTCTAGACGCAAGAACTGCTACTTTAGTCCACTTGAAATACTTCACGACGTCTGCGGCCACATTGCACAGCAAATCATCGCTTGGGCTCATGCGCAGTATATACTCGAAGTCACAAGGATTAAATGATTGGGTAAGACCGCTGGCAAAGGGCGCAAGCTGTGGTGTTCGTAGTTGTGGACAGAGTCTTTGGATCGCTTCAATATGGATCACTTCGTTTGGTCCTATGATGGCTACTGCTCCTCGGTCTACGAGGCTAATAGCTAGACCAAATGAATTAAAATATAATGAAAAATAACATGTAGGTAGAGATTGCTTTATAGCGCCCGCCTGTATCTTTTTACCATGGGATCCAAAGGTTATTTATTCTGGTAAGGCGCTCCGGCGTCATACCTCTGCAGCCCAGGGTAGTACCTTCACCCTCTAACCTCTCAATCTTTAAGCTAGCTTTTGATATCTTAAAAATCTGAATCTACGCACACTGACTCGAGATTGAGGGTCTAAAACTAGTCGCTACAGGTCAATATCGGCTGTAGACTACGTCCTTGAATCCAATAAATCGTTTCCATGTGCCTTCTCATGGTTCCCACCTAATTTTACGTACTCTAACGATTTTTTGATGGCCCATCAACATAGCGGCCCCACTTTTTTTTGATCAGTGTGTGGCAAAGAAAACAGTGCCAATAAGAGGCATATTCTATACCGTACTCACATTGGTACAGAAATAGCTTACTATTCAATACCCTTACTATGCGAAGCAAGCTCCGTGTAATATAAGTTCAAACCCGCTTCTTTGGTCATAAGTAAGCGATGTAGGCGTGATGAAAATCTATCCGAAGGGAGTGGGGGTGCGTTATACTCAATCATTGCATCTTTGTCGTATTGTAACTGTTTTCTATTAGTCACTGACAAGTATTAACTCCATTATTTAACTCCACATGAACTCCATAGGTAACTTGAAGTCTAGAGGACAAGCCTTACCTTTCAGCACATTGTCTAAGTCTTCATCGCTATCAGTAAATTCCACAATCCCTTCAAATCTGATCATGCTATTTTTCTGCTTCTCAACCTCGTTAATATAATCGATAGCAGTTCTGAAACCTTCATAATCCGACTCTGCATTTGAGATGTTTCTGAAAATCCCTCCTGGAAGAATGAGGAAAATTGACATATGGCCAATCAAGACAAGTTTGTAAAACTTTCTGTACGACAAAACATGTCACAAAAGCATAAAAGCGTTAACTATTACTTACCTATTAGAATTCTTTTTGTAGATTGAGTCTTCACAGGTTCTGTACAAACACAGAAAAAAAGATACAACAGAAAAAGGAAAGCCATGATTGCTTGTTCTCCCAGAAAGCAAAATACACGAGTTCTTTGCAAAGAGGAAGACGTTATCCATTGAGTGGTGGAAAACTGTCATCCATGAACAATGAATTTTTTTTCCTGATTGCCGGGTCGTTTCGAGTTACAGCATGCGTAAATCCCAGCTTTTGTTTTGACTTTAAGCCCCCTGGACAAAATCTTTTGTTCAGTGAACAAAACGTTAAGTACTTCCTTCCTCAACACAGGTCTTGTTGTGGTTTATTCTGTCTGTGTTTTGATCATGGTGTTTTTGTCGCGGTAAACCAGTGGCTTTCTTGACCCAGACATGTGATATGCAGAGTGGCGTTGCTCGGCATAAACACCACTATCAATAGAAAATTTCAACTTTGGGGTGTAATTCTCGGTCCATTTGAAGAAAGACAAGGTTCGCTAAAAACCGAAAAATGATTCACAGTTTCGCTCGTCCTAAAACGATCGGAGATCTAAAGGACAAATTGTGCCATGAAATGAAAACGGAAGAAAACAACATTTATAGAATTTATCTAGAAAGAACTCYTTCTTTCAAAAAAAAGCTTAAACGCTGATAAAAAGTCGTATTGCAGGTTGTAAAGGATCAGTGGAATTTTTCTCGGTGTATGTAGACTGCGACCTAAGTCCCTCTATTTCCTTTGGTGCGTCTGAAAACAACATTTATAGAATTTATCTAGAAAGAACTCCTTCTTTCAAAAAAAAGCTTAAACGCTGATAAAAAGTCGTATTGCAGGTTGTAAAGGATCAGTGGAATTTTTCTCGGTGTATGTAGACTGCGACCTAAGTCCCTCTATTTCCTTTGGTGCGTCTGTCTGTCCGTGTCGATTGGTCGAGGAAGATTGGTTACGAGTCAAAAGTCCCTGGGGGAGGGGGCTTGACTCGTAACCAATCTTCCTCGACTAATCGACACAGACACAGACGTACAGTGACCAAGGGAAATAGAGGGACTTAGTTCGCAGTCTACGGTGTAAACCATCTTACAATCTCAATCTTTATGGAAAAAGAGCTTTCTCTTTTGCTGCTCCTGAATTGTGGAATTCCTTGCCAGTTAAAATCAGGTCCAGTACATCTATCTCTACTTTTAAAAAAGATTTGAAGACCTGGCTTTTCAAGAAGGCATATGATCAATCTAATTGACTTTTATTATTTTATATTAAAATTTTTACTCGAGTTTTAATAAATGATTTTTATTGAATTTGATGCAATGTAAATGTTTTTAACGATATTAAAGTGTTAATTTTTGTTATATTGCAAATCGTTTTTTCTATGTATTGAATTGAATCATTGTCATGACGGTTATAATATTATAACAATTTAAAACATTTTTAACAACAAAGTTTAACGTTCTTATTTAAAAAACTGTAAAGCGTTATTGAACTAGCGGATACTAACGCTATAGAAATTTTAAATTATTATTATTATTATTACGGTGTATGTTGACTCGAAAATGTGTGAAATAATAACACCTATTGACGGAAGGTACCAAAGTGGTATCATGATCAATCACTGCACTCCACTGACTAATCAACTAAGTTTAGTTTTTATTTCAAGAAATTACAGTAAATTCAGTTTATAAATATACATTGTACTTAGAAAAGTATACAAGAATCATTAGATTGCTTATGTTCGGTATCTTTATACTAATAAGACTACTGTAAGAGAAAAGAAGACCTAGTCTCTTACCCTTCCCTCTCCTCCCTTAGGGAAAAAAAGGGAGGGGGTGACTGAGATATCGCTGTCATCCAAGATTGAAAGTTGGTTTCTCCACGTACCCCTCCGCCATTCAAACACTTTTTTCACGCTACAAGACCTCTTCTCATTCCCACCACACAACAGTTTTAGCAACTTCACAGGAAGGCACTGATTCAACTTTAATTCCAATATAAAAACCAAATTTTATTTTTTTACTGGACTGTTAAAGTGCACATGAACCCTTCGACAATACTTTCAGTACTGATTCTACA